AAAGCTTTTTTGAGTATTCCAAAAATGCTCGATTGAAAAGCTTATATTTGAGCATTTTTCAACTCTCCTTATCAGTGAAAAGACCTCAATTAAAGGTAGGTAACCAATAAGTATACAGTCCATATTACCTTGTTCATCTTCACCAAAAAAAATCTGGAGCGCTTCCTTAGGCCGACTCTCCTCTAGCTCCTTAGCCAGTTCCATTTTTTGATACCTTTATTTTTGAAGCAGTCGGCCCTTTTTAGTGACACTTCCATGCAAACACCAAATAATTCCAGTAGAAGCCTAAGACATTCCCCATTGCATATTCTAGATTTTTTAGAACAAAGGAGAGGATTCCAAGGGGGATCACGTCCAAAGTTCAGAGACATTTAGTTCCCTTTTGGCACCCGAATAAGTGGGTGGGAAGGAGGAAGTCTTACCCAACCAACCCATTGGCTTATAAATAAATGAACGTTGAAAATGCTCGCCACGCACATCTGTAAATAACTTGATTCAGCCCCATATGTTATTTGAAAGCCCAGAGTCCTACTCAAAATAATTTTCAGGCTCTACTAACATGTACAGTATGGACAGTGATGGCACTGATGGCTCTTTGTATCGCCGGTGTGCACCTGCTCACATTTGCTCGGATCCATTATGATCAAGCTATTCGGTCTACGCCCTGGTATTCTCTGTATGCTATCATGGGTGATCTCGTTGGTCCTGGCATTGCCATCGGTCACCAACGGGCACATCGTCATCTACGATGCCTCACTACGACATTGCGTCTGGGGCCATTCTGATTCCGGCCTCAAATTCCTCACCTATCTTCTAATACTCGGTGTACTTATACCAGCTGCATTTTCGTCATATGCCTACATACGTGTTCTTGGAATTCTCTATCACAGCCCTATAGTATTTCAATCGCTTGGACTCTATAAAAGCCGATTCCTTGTCTACGCATTTCTATTCAGGTAAATAGTGAGAGAGAGGAGAGGCTTGCAGAAAACGAGGACGAATTGAACATAAACATGTTTTCAATAGCCACTAACACAACAATTTTCCAATTTTCGCCTTGAAATTGGCCAGTAAAGGCTTTCCAAGCAAGTGGAGGGATAAAAAAATACCAGGAAATAATTACCGACGGCGTTCGCCTACCCTGCCCTTTGCCCGCCACTTTCATTTCCCGTCTGGTATGAACTGGATCGAAGTAAGCACTACTAAAGCAGAAGTCTATTCTATCTTTCTCTCTTGAAACACCTGCTACATCGATGAAAGTGCTAGCTGACGTTTCGAAAAATTGCCACCTATCCAATACGTCATTCAGACGTCGATCCGCTTTCTCAGCACATGCTCACGCAAAAACAGAACATCGATTTTGTCTGCGCGCAAAATCAATGGCTATTTTAAAGTATATGGGGGAGTACTAGTGTGTGACAACACATGGAATAGGTATCTCCGAAAAGGACTTCATCTGGTTCCATCCGCAGAATCAGATTCTGTACCCATTGCGACCATATCCTTATCTAAGAGCAACGAAGTCAAATTAGTGATCAAAAGAAGCGTCAACAGACCGTGTTGAACCCGTGGGCTCATTATTTCTATCCTCAGATCCTTCATTAGCGGATGACGTGAAAGTGTACTCAAAACAGGACTTCTCATTGCATTAACCATGATGCAATTATAAAAGCTTCCTACGCGAAGAGTGCCACAATTGGCTACTTCCGCTTCGCAAACATTTCTGCGTCATTTGCAATTAGACTTAAAGGGGTAGGGAAAAAAGCACCACATTCGGCATTATCCCTTCTATAGCCAACTAAATGGGGCACCAATCAGGATTAACCGTCCGTCTGATCAAGCCAGACCAAGCGTCTTTGATTTTAAGGAAGACTTCATCTGGCGCTGTGGCGTCGTTTTCTGGAAAACTGGGAAAGTAGTTCCGAGAAAAGCGAAAGTTTTGCGAGAGTTTTGAATTTTCTCTAAATTTTGACACCGACAATATCAATCATTGCTGGCAGGGCGGAGGATCATATGTATATTTGAAATGGGCCACGTACCACGATAAACGTTCTTTGGATCTAAGTCTGCTCCAAGATTTTGTCAAAAAAATTAGAAAAATTTCACTATAATCGAGAGGCCGTTGGGGGCCTAAGGGTACTCAAGGCGCCACACCCTGATGTTTGCTTCTCATGAAATAGAGATCAATAAACCATGAGCCACATAAGCACGCCACCAAATGTTGAAGCCTCTTGCATTTATCGATCTCTTTCTGAGATGCGCCACGCACTCTACCTCCATTCGAAATATTCAGTAAGGGAGGTCATAATCACGAGATGCGAAAAGTAGCTGATCAAGGAGTCAGGGCCCATCTTCTCTTCCACACAAATCCGGTATAAGTAATTGACCGCAGAGGTCAGATACCCAATATTCCTCTGACAGGGGCCAAGAGTAGGTGTTTTATTGATCTGACCCAATCCAAAGACACTGTTTTATTTGCCCTTTGCCTACTATTCCCCCTTCTGTCTCGTATTCTTGATTAATAAATAACAAGAGTTTAACAGCCGAAAAGGCGCAATGAAAGGGGAAGATTAATTTAAAAAAAACTAATAGTTTTCATTTCAGTCCGATGTATCAAGTGCCGTTCTATGCGGTCACCATGATGCACGCCAAGCACACATGGCGTATTCAGACGGAGGCGTTTTGGCCAGCTATTTGCATGTTCCTCGCTTTTACTCAATGCCTCGTTTCACCGGCGCTCTATGGAGCCAGCCTGTTCATGATGAAGGAAGAAGATATGGCGTTAACTGCACGAACGCACAAAGGTGCCACCGGATATCAACACGTTCAATCTCACAACATGCAAGCTCAACTTATATGAGCTTTATCATTCTCACAGTCATTTTACATTCGTGTATTTATTCATCCCTAGCACTGACTAAAAGCAATTCCAATCCAACACCAGTACTATACAAAAGCCTCGCATGTCCATTGAAAACTGCCTTCTGCCCGGAAATTTGAGATAAATGACTCACATTAGCGACGTCAAGCAACTGGCAATCAACGCCATTTTACGCTCCAAAAACATTTCAAAAAGTACTACCAATTGCCACCTGAACCTTCGTGCCTATCATTCGTAACATAAATGAGAAAGTATTTTTGATCGCGGCAAGAGCCACGCAGAGAAAACGCTAAAAGTAGCTAGCTGATCGAATACTATATTTTATTTCGGAAGATTAGATACGAGAGAAAAAAATGAAAGACAGGTCGATAATAGACAGAAAAAGAGCTTAAAAAGCAAAGATATCTGAGTAAAGATATCGCAAGTCATTTTGAAGAGAGCGGGAAGCGATGAAAAAAAAACGATTTTGTTCACACCTTTACTGACTCCAAACGCCTCCAACTTCATGCTATTTCCGGTTATGCCGGCTGAGAATTCAAAGTTACTGTGCCATTTCATTCGCTTTTACATGTTTTCTTTTGTAGACGCTCTCAAAGCCTATCTAATCAATTATTTCGATTTGAGAGAAAACAAATAAATATCGTACCACTTAGGCCATATCGCTCTCTAACTTACAGAGCCGTTGCAATTACGGGGTGCTGATTTAGGTGCACTGTATCCACGCTTTACATAGTATCATTATTGTAACATATTGTTCCTGTTTTCATGTTGTTGTCACAGAATGATGTAGAATAGGATAAAAAATAAATACTTCAGGCTTATCTGTTTCACATGAAATTTAGAAACGTGCCATTTATGTTTTGTAGAAGAAAATCGACGTGGCAAGATGATATATGGTAAAGATCCCGCGCCCTTGACTACGAGAACTGGGCTGAATTCATCAAACGGTGAAGGGAATGTCAGGAATGAAGGAATTCCCTTGGCAAAAATGACTCGAATGCAAAACAGCTTCATATTCTGCGAGTGACAAATAACCTTATCGTTATGACTAAGAAAAAGAAAACTCTTTGCAATGTTAATCAATATTTTTTGCATTAGCCACTAAGACATGCTCACACTAATAGAGTTTCTCTTTCGAAAAATAGTAAATAATTACTTAACGCAAGGAGTCGTTTTTAAAAATAGTCATGAAGAAGAGTGATTTGAAGAGATTAGGGAAGTGAGTATAAAATTTTAATCTGACGATGTAACATGCATTTACGTGAGGTGCAAATGTTCTCAAAACCAGGTAAGTTGGGTAACTTTTCAACACTACCTCATGACCAATAGAAGATCATTGAGGAGTTGGGCTCCAAAGAGACCACAATGGCTGAACCCAAGACACACTCTCACGCGAGACCCTTCGCAAGTGCTTCGAAAACAGAATTGCCATTCTCATTTTTCCTCCTAGTTTTCACGAACCTTCTAGACCATGAAGACAAAAGGATAATAATTAGAAAAGGAAGATCCAGAAAGATGATTTCAGAAAATCATTCATAGAAGTCTCTTCAAAAGATCAGCTTTCAAAACAAAGCGCTATTTTCGCGAGCAAGCTAAACCTAGTCAGTGAGGAAAACTAATCTATTCACTTCTCCGTTCTCCCACTCAGCAATACTTTGCAAATACTGCCATTTACCAAATTCATCGTATCCCTCCTCCTGACACTTTTGCTGATTCATTACAACAGTTCCTATCACTTAGACGTATAGTTCACAAAAATAACATTAATCTTCAAATCAATTACTGCTATATGAGATCGGTCAAAATGAGAATAAAAAACCAAATCTACCTCAAATAACTGTTCAACTAAATATTTTAAGACTTCCGCAGAAAAAAAGGTAGAGTTCACTCCCAGACTCCTACCGACCTGATAGGGCAGAACAAGCGAGAAGATTCATGTCAACAGCGTAGCGGCTTGAGATCTCAAAGTTTTACAAGGTGAGTCCTCCCAATTCATATTCTACACCTTGATGGTCATACATCGATTCGATCATATTATTCAAGTAAATATAAATCACTCAAATGGCGCCTATAAATAAATGCGAAACCTTCGGAAAAAACCGTCCATCGTAAAGCCATCGGCTGTTATAAATTAAATCTTTTATATGAACTTCTGAACAATGGAAACGCCAGCCCGAAAACCAAGCAGCAAAAGATCCTGTACCCTTTGAAAACCGCGTGCTTCACATTCAACCACACGAGACTCAGCACTATTTCAATATCGGAGACTGAACGTCCAGAGTTCAAACCCAACAGAATCGTAACTGGGGATCTTCATCACAGTTAGTATAAAGGCAATAACTGGTAGTAGAACAGCAAAGTAGAAATAAACACACAGCTGAGCATTCAAATGCCTACCAGTAAAAAGTTGAGGGAACTTGATTGGTAGGATGACTGCTTCCTTGAGTGCTTCTTTTGCTGTTTCCAAACCAGCAATGTCACTCCACTTGATGTTCGGTTTTTCCATTACGATTGCACCCGATAACTTGTCCTAAATGAAGAGGAAATGGAAGGGATTGTATGACGGCTCAATGGGAAAAACATCAAATTTTTGATTGCGCGCTTTCAATTTAATTATGATGATAGGATGATAGTTAGTGAAGTTGACAGTCAAAACAAAAAGAATGAACAAAAAGGTCACGATGAGCCAAGTTGAAAGGGCTGAAAGCTTGGCTTTATATTGTAAATTTTAACGCATAGTTGGTGGCTAGCTTAACTTCTGAAAGACATTGTTCGGTAATGTTTTCCCAGACCGTGAAACTATAAGCT